CCTGCTGGGATCCGGTTTATTAGTAGAAAGCAGAAAAAAGCTGTAAGGTGTTTTTGTTTACATGTCCTGTGTTTCAATACTCCTATAATACTGTGATGATTAGTCATAGAGAGTTTAATTTGTAAATTACAATCTATGGAAGGCGACACATGTTCAGTGTTGCCATTAAAGAACACAGGCCAACATGTTTCACTCTGACCTGACTGTTTTGTTGTGGTACAGTTAAACCGGGCACTGTATGCGCCTACAAACCTGAGGCACTTCGTGGTTTCCTTTCGGTGCTACTGGTTAGACATGTCAGACACTATGCACATTAAGATTTTAGAAACTAAACACTGAATGGCTTAAAAATACTGCATATATTACCCAACAGTCTTGCCTATAAAGCCGTTAAATGACCCCCACCCTGACTAAATGCTGCTTAGCACCTGATAAGTGAAGTGAAATTTATTGATCGTTCTTCAGTATTTCTGATTTGGATCCAAGACTTTTTCCACACTGCGGTGTCTCTACTTTGACCCGGGTTTGGGGTCACACTTACTCCTGCCAACCAGTGATGCTGCGCCAGGTGCTGTCCGTCCTGCACTACTTTATATGTGAATGCGCAGCCTAATCCCGCGTTTATTACGCTTTTCTTTTCTTTTCTGGAACCGTGAACAAGGTAAAAGATCCAAACCGTGCATTCGGTCATCATGTTCACAGTGCACTGACAAAGATGTGTTTTTCCCAAATCGCACACGTACACACAAAAACGAATAAAGGCGCAGCGACTGTAAAAACACGAGCTAAATGAAGGTATCATTCGGATCGGTGTAACGGACTTACTTCATTTTCATCAGGCTCAGTTCAAAGAGTTGGTTTCCAGAACCTGAGTGTCCGCGCACAGCTGCGCGTCTTGCTGTGCGTCTCACCGAGCAGGACTCCTCCGGCGGTCTCGTCTCTGGAAAACCGAGCTGCTCGATCAGTGCGACAGAGCCAGAGGCTGGGAGTCGTCCGAGACCAGGGGAGGCGCAGAGAGCAGAGAATGGGATGAAGTTTAAAGCCCAACACCTCCCAACTTCTGCTCCTCCTGTCTGGAATATCTTAATCCCTGCTGCTATTGAACAGGAATAAGGATGATTGTTATTTTCTTTCAGCAGATGAAGAGACGTGTATGATTTCATATATGGTCGTGCATTGTCCTTCAGCTGCCCTATTTTGAACAAAGAATAAATCACTATTAAAGATGCAATAACTGACTTTTTATTGGCCAATGCAGGAACAAGGAGATGACCGACACACCCCCCATGTACGTGTGAAGGCTGTTTAAAGTTATGTTACATCTCCAGGGGACAGGAAGCAACATCAAACATTCATCTGCAGTCTGTTTCTGTCCCCCTGAAAAATGTCAACATTAAAAAAAGCCCATCTGTCTCTCCAAAGGAAAAAAAGATGCTCATGGCGTCACAGATCTCAAACTAGTGCCTGTCAATATTATCTCATAACAGGGAGGTTCTTCTTGTGGCTGCCAGCTTTAGTTGAGGACAAACTCCCACGGCCCCTCCAGCAGCCTCGCAAGGTTAAAGAGTAGGTCCACTACTGCACAGCCAGGACGGAATCTGCATCATTCCTCCTGAATCTGAGGTTCGACATTTGGCCTAAGTCTTCCTCCAAGCAGCCTGGCATTAGCTTTCCAGGAGGCACACACCACCAACACAGCAGCCCTGTCAAAGCATCTGTCTTTTTGCAACTCATAGTGTATTTCTCAGAAATGGATCCATTCAATATATTTATTTTTGAGGTCGAAGTTAAAGGTGCATTAGATTGCATCATATTCAGAGGTATCTTCTATATAAATGAGGGGGTATTATGGTGAGTCGTCCATGGGGAAATTCCAGTACACCTGTTGACCAGTTTGGTTAGTAATGTTGTGATTATACACCTGTGTGTCTGCAGGAGACTCCCTGACTGCTCACAACAGGTATAATTTCTCCACCTTCAACAAAGACCAGGACGCCTGGCCCAACAATTGTGTCAGAGCATACCTGGGGGCCTTCTAGTACAGTTAGTGTTGCATTACAAACCCTATCCCAAATCAGAACAGCAAAGAGGGGCTTCTCTGAAAAACTGAAAGCTCAGGTTTCAGCCAACGACCCCTCGTCTGTGTAGAGAAGCCTGAAAAGCATCACTGGCTATAGGAAACCATCCCCCCTGTTGTGGAGGACTGTCAACTAGCCCCACCATACTTGGCAGCACTGTATCAGCAGTAAAGTGCTATAAGTTCCTGGGCTTCACTATCTCCCAGGACCTGAAGTGGATGTCCAACATCAGGACCATCACCAAGAAGGCACAGCAGAGGATGTACTTCCTGCATCAGCTCAGGAAGTTCAACCTGCCCCAGGAGCTGCTGATACAGTTCTACAGAGGAATCTTCGAGTCTGTTCTCTGCACCTCCATCACTGTCTGGTTTGGCTCAGCAACCAAACAAGACAAGTACAGACTTCAGTGGACAGTCAGGACTG